AAATAATAAAAATATTTAAAATCTTGCCAAGTACTTCTGAGCATGAGCCCATGCCGCAGGACTTCACAGAGCAGAAACTTTTATTGTGAATTTTCTTCTCATCTGAACAGGAACGCAGGAAGCTGGCTGCTGTTCAGCCATACGAACAAAACAAAAGTATTCATTGGGCTTCTTTTTTTTTCTTTTTTTAGGCTTGCCAATTGATCATTTGAATGCAGAAATTAAAAAAAAAATTACTAATGTAACATGAAATTAAAAAAAAATAAAAAATCTGTTCCTTGTAACTTACTGTAACCAAATCCAGCCGCCACAAAAAGGGACCGGTGCACGTTTTTCAGGTGTTGATTAATACCGATGTATTTTTTTGCCGTATGTCGTATACAAAGAGCTGAAGAGATAAACCCGTCAAGTCAGAGGGGAAGCAAAAAGTGTTGTGCGATGTGTTACGGGCTAGGGGATAACAGAGCAGTGAAGCTCCGGGCTGAGTCTTCTTCTACCACCGGCACTTGAGAGCCAGGCAGCCCGGCAAGGGCCACCCAGCTGGAAACACCAAACCCTCTTTTACCTGCTCGCTTCGAAGGCGAGGCGTTGGCCGATGCGGTGCCTGCAGCTCCTGGGGAAGCCCATCCGATGGGTGGAAGCCGTGGTAGGAGGGGAGATGCTCGGGAGCGGATTGCCCAGGCTGGCTGGCCGGGTGGGTTTTATCTCGGGTGAAGCGTTACCGCAGATGTTTGTGCAATCCGCTCTCCCCCAGGACCCTCCTCCAGCTGGTAATTGTTTTGCCCTGCTCAGCAAAAGCCCCTTTCAATTCCCCGCCTCCCCAAAACCTTTCTGGCTGCACCGACACCTCCGGACCGGCTCTCCTACAGGGACCTGCCCGAGCTGCCCGTGCCACCACCCGGTCTTGCAGAAAGACAAGTCTGAGGCAGTTTGCTTTTTATTTATCCAACTATCGCAACCTTCTGTATTATAAAAGGAAAAAAAAAAAAAAAAAAAAGCCCTTTACTACCAACAAGGAGATCTGATTGATGAGCTAATGTTGCGTTGAAGGATGTTGAAAACAAACCTAACGGAGCATCCGCTCTGTGAATGGTTTGAGCGTGGCCATGAGGAATCCTCCCCAGCAGATATATTTATTTCCATACACTTCACTGGTGTCTGCACAGCGCACTCGGTGTACGCTCAAAAGCATCACACAGAATTAACTCAGATTTAGCACTTTTTTTTTTCTGATGGACCCTGAGTGCCGATGTTTCCTGAAAGCTTCTGCTAGAGGAAGAAATCTTATAAAACCCTTATTACAAATATTAAATGTTAACTTTGTCCCAGACATTTAGAAAACACAAAGGATGGGACAGATGGAAGAGTATACCAAGCTACGAAGGAGTGGGGAAGCAAGGTGGAAAAGAATATCGATGGCTTTAGATGTTTTTAACGTAGGTTTGTTTTTCTGCTGGAAGGCACCAGACTATTAGTCCTGGAGATGCACTGGAGGTGGGTGGAAAAGGATTTCTCCGTGTTCTTTAATTTCTCTCTTCCCCATTCAGTACTGGGCTAAAACCAAGGCTTGTGAAATGGGGAAAGCAAAATTATACAGGGGAAAAAAATAACCCTTGCTAAACTTTAGGACAAAAACAAAAAAAAAGAGATTTCAAAGATTATTTAAAAAAAAAATACATGGAAGGCAAAATAATCCACTAAGGATACCTGCTTGGGTAGGGTGTATGTCTGCAGGGTGAATAACGGAGCTTGAAATCCCAGATCCAGACAGCTCAGTACTGCACTTGCTCCATCTCCATCATAAGGTGACCCCAGACCACCAGCACCTTGGCTGATCAGGGCAAAGAAAGACCTAAAATCCTCCTTCCCACCACCACTCCATCCCTTTACACGCCTAGTTAAATTCACGGCAGAGCAGAGGCTGAAATATGACTTGTCCCCATTTACCATGAATACGTCGATGACTGTCACAGCGTTATTTCACACAACCTCACCTCGTGGCCAAGACCTAAAACTCCTGGACAATTCCTCCTAATAGCAGGAACATCACCTGTGGACATCCATTAATATAAAACATGAGAGATCAGACACTGGTGGGTTTGATGTTGGCAGGGCAAAGCCACCACCTGCATTCTCCCTTTTGTTCTCTGAAGCCCGAAATTGATTTTTTTTTTAATAGTAATAATATTTAAATAATAAAGAATATTTACTTTAAGTCACATTTAAATAACATTTACTTTGGAGATAACTTTCTGCCCAACACACGGTCACTGTCAGGTCTCAGGCTACGGCCGGGGAAAGTCCCATCCTTCCTAGCGCAGTGCGTAGCCTTGATTCAAGGAGAAACGTGTTTTCCAGGTGTCCTGCTCCCAGGTGCATTTTGTCCCTGCTTCTTGAAGGTGCAATATCTAACCCTCCTCACCTTGGCAGGGTAGCCCTCTCCGTTCAGCTGACCAGGAACCATGGATGGACAAGGAGGAGAGGACTCTACCCTTTACTTTCCTCATGGCGTTCTTCATATCTGTGTTTCTTAGGCTGTAAATGAGCGGGTTCAGCATGGGAACTGCAACAGAGTACAGCACAGAGACCACCTTGTCATGCTCCAAGGAGTGTCTGGAGCTGGGGTGCAGGTACATGAAGAGGGAGCTGCCGTAGTACAAAGCGATGGAGACCAAGTGAGATGCGCAAGTGGAGAAGGCTTTGTGCCAACCGGCCGTGGAGCGCATCTGCAAGATGGTGGAGAGGACCAACAAGTAGGAGACAAGGATGAAGACTGTGGTGCTTAGCACGTTGAACCCCACCACGGCAGAAACCGTCACCTCGTTGACATGGGTGTCAGAGCAGGAGAGGGCTAGCAGCGGTGGTCCATCACAGAAGAAATGATTGATCCTCTTGGACCGGCAGAATGGGAGACGAAATATGGAAACCGTGTGTATGGTGGAGCTGATCATGCCAGCTAAGTAGGCACCAGCCAACATCCCAACGCAAAGCCTCTGGGACATGACCACAGAGTAGAGCAGGGGGTTACAAATGGCATTGTAGCGATCATAAGCCATGGCAGCCAGCACGTAGCACTCGGCGGTGGCACAGGTCGCAAAGGAGAAGAGCTGAGTGGCACACCTAACGAAGGAAATTACCTTCTTCTCCACTAAAAAATTCAGCAAGGTTTGAGGGATGATGGTGGAGGAGTAGCAGACATCCAGGAGAGACAAGTGGCTTAGGAAGAAGTACATGGGGGTGTGTAGGCACGGATCGAGTCTGATTAATATAATTACTCCCAGATTTCCTATTAGAGTGACCACGTAGATGACAAGGAATAAGACAAAGCATGTCACCTGCAGGTCATCTCGGTTTGTGAAGCCCAGGAGAATAAACTCGGATGCAAATGTATAATTATCTTCACCCATATTGAACAGATAAGCAGTTCAGCTGCTTTATGTTTTTCAGATGGAAATGCTTAATATCATCTGTCAATAATGTTAAGAATGTCAATTTTTGTCTATCAAGCAGTTACACCTCTTTAAGTCAATATAAGGTAGATCCTCTTTGAGAGAGGAAGACCTCAAGGTCCCGAGGCCAGTCTCCCCGTTCAGCCTGAGACAAGCGCATACACCACCAGCAACACGCTTGGAAGTGGGTGGATATTTTAAGATGAGGAAGGAGGGCAGCACCATACCGGAATAAAGCATGATTAAATTGCAGGGCTTTCTCATAGTTCCTCTCAAGCCGTTGACACACGGAAGTCCATGGTTTTCACAATAACTCCTGAGAAAATGAAATTATTTCTCATCTTTTGAGTGCTCCCAGTCCAGTGTGAGTACGTGAGGAATAAACATCTGTTCCCTGTGTCCCAGGAAGGCCTCTTCTAGGTGAAAGCACCTGAGAATGTGACTTTCCTTAGTTTTTCCTCGTGTAGGATGGTGCACTAATGAGACCCAGGATTTGTCTGGCCTCACTCTGCTTTAGGCATGATGCCTAACTTGGAGATAAAAGATGAATTCAGACTTGCTCTCTCTGCTCGGCAGGGAGAAATCAGCAGCCCCTAAAATCACACTCTACGACAGATAGAATAAATAAACATTGATTTTTTTCCTGGATAACATTAATCATTGCTTGACAGAGTTACACCAGAGAGCAACGCAGGGGTGCATGCTGCCTGGCACCTGACAAACAGATCCACACTTAAAAGTCATAATTATTTGATGACCCTTTGCTGAAGGGGTGAGGTTCACCTCCTGATCCAGACATCTCATTTCAGATGTCCTGTGAGCAACATGTCTGGTGTCCTGGAGTTATTAATGGGAATTTAGAGCTGCTTTTCACTGCCCACGTAGAGATGCCGGAGGCAAAGCAGCGTCTGAGACATCCGCGTGGCGCTGGAAGATGGGTTACAAATAATGAAAATCGAACTGTTTGGGTCTGGAGCTGAATCCTCCCCCAGAGGCAGCATCCGCCTGCCCAGATGCAGCCATCTACTGCCATTGGAGAATTGACCTGAATTTCACAATTAACAAAGGCTCACCCTTCCTTTTTCTTACTTGACAAGCCAACTGCTTTGTGTGGAGCCACCCAAGGTGTAGCTATGACCAGGATATACACCAGGAGATGTGTAAGGCTTGTGCCATCCACCATAGCTGCCCACTAGGAACCACATCTTCCTGCAGCCTGAAGACACTGCCTGGAAGGGAGATAAATTAAATTAAAAAACCCCCATACCTTGCTGTCTTGGAGTAGATATTATTCATGCTGACAGCCAGGTGGTTGGTCCACGCTCTGCTAAATAACTGCTGGCAAAGCCCCGAATATTTATCCTTGTCCTCCTGGGGAAAGGAACGTCATTTGCGACACCTGCTTTCCTACTCAAATTCTGCAAGATCTTGCATCTCCTGGGCAAGCCAGTACAAGCCCTTCCAACAAGCTGCCCCAGGACTCACCAAGCAGCCTGTCGTTAGTGGTTCCCGACATTTAACTCATGATGTTATGGACAGAAGAAAGACCAGCCGTTGCCAAGACCCTACAGCCCACCAAAGCCTTGCAGTGCATCCTCCTGGTTAGAGAGCCATTAGCCTGCTCTCATGGTGGACGTCATCCTCAAAATCTCGGTGTGGGAACAAGGGGATGGTGCCAGATCTATAGAGCTAAAATACACTCTTCAGCTAGCTGGTGTTTTAAGAATCTTACAGCCCAAACTATCTAGTGAAGGCAGAAAAGCCTCGTCAATAGGGTGGTTTAAAACGTGAAGCAAAAGCACCCCATGCTTACACCTCCAGCATCCCTCTGGTTTCTCAGGGCACAAGTCCTGGGGATCCTGCAGACAAAGCAGGATTTTCCCAGCGGGGATGTCTTCTGCTCTTCTCTCGGGTCCGATCAAAGTGATTTTTACACTCACAGCCGCTCCCCGCTCCAGCTGGAGAGGTAGTCCGTGTCTTCTCCCACGCAACACCTACCCATGCTTCCAGAGCGTTGCCCTTCACCGTATTCACAGAGCCGGGGGTAAAACAAGTCGGGGAATAACGTCTTGACCTCCGTGGAGCTGTCAGACCAAGTGAGGGTCAGCCCCTGCCAAGCCCAGAGGGGTCCCAAGACCCTCCACTGCCAGGTCAAGATGTAGCCAACAGGGTTTTAAAATGAATGACACCAGAAGGTGTTATTTGAACAATACCGGCTCAAAAATGTTGCCTTTGATAGTTTCATACATCCTAAAAAAAAAAAAATAAAAAAAAATAAAAAAAAAAATCCCAGGTATTTTATCAGGGTATCTGTGTGTATTATACGATATCTGTGTTCAAAAACCTCTTATTTTTTTTCCACAGAGTGGCTCTTCTTGGAGGCATTCAACCCTCAGAGCAGACTGCATGTGACGAGCATCCAGCACTCCCTTTTTTCAGTTTTTGTTGATGTTTAGAATGGGGAAAAAAAAAAAAAAAGAAGCCTTATTTTTCATTTGGATGTGTCTGCCTTTATTTTCCAATCAGAAACTCTTCCTATACTTTTTCTCCCGAAGATGAGAAAGGGCTGCACCAGCTGCAGTTCCTTCCAGGAAAGGATAAAAGCCACCTTTTCATCTGCTCCAAAAAATAATTAAAAAAAAAAAAAAAAAGTATGGACTTACCCTGGTTTTATCCACCTAGCACTCAGCGTTTCATAGCCAAGGGTGGGTTTCTCCCCTGTGAAGGTGACCAGGATGAATCCACCAAGCTCAGCCAGGAACCGAGGAATTATATAGGCAGCCTCATCCATTTAATTCAGCATCCAGGGGCCGCTCACCTGGGATTATTTAGGTAGTGATGGACACGATTTACATAAGTCAACAACAAAAAATTTCAATTCTTCGCCTGCATGGGATAAAAGTTTGGATCTCTCCATATATTTTCATTTGCCTTTATTGTAAAATCTGGGATAGCGTTGTCAGGAGTGAAGATGTGCTGTAGGGACCCGTTCTGAGAACGGATCTGTAGATCTATAGGAAACAATTGATGCTGGAGGTAATCATTTAAAATACCAGGAATTATCAAGTTGTGGATTAGCCCAGACTATTTAAAAGAAAAATGATTCATAAGGCAGAGTGAATTTGATAATCTAGATTTCATACAGCCTGAAGCCTAATACAAGAAATATTTTACCTAATACAAGAACTGTATTAGGAAAAAAAAAAAAAAAGTGAGGTTTAAAGCATCATTTCTGAACACGAGGGGACCTTGGCCAGAAGCTTGTCCAAACACCCGATAGTGCCTGTTTGTTTTTAACAAGCTCAGGAGCTCTGCCGATGCTGAGCAAAGAAATTATCTGAACAGGATCGGCCAACTCCAGAGGCGAGACAACGGTCTTGTTTTATTTATACGCTATTTCTCGGTTTCCTGAACACGGACGAGCCGCTTTGCTACCCAAGACTTCAAATAACTTTAAAATAAAAAAAAAAAAAAAAGAAGTAGTTTTTATTGAAAATAAAAAGGAGCAGATATTTCCAACAATGTCCAATAGATGGTGACGATGTATAAAAAATCCTGAGCAGTATTTTTCCGGCCACTTATTTAGCACTCTCCCCCTCCAGCCCTCCGTTTCCATACCTGAAAGGCTGGTATGGCCATTTTGCATCTTTCGGGGTAGACAACAGAGCACCATGGTACATCATAGAAGGAACAGCAAAAAAAAAGTTGTTCACGTATAAACAGGCGTGGGGTTTATTCAGGAGGAGCCGAAATGTGACTTTTGAGAAGGAAAGGGGCATCTTAAGAGCAGGTGGATTTGTACACTTGGCGTGCCTTGCCAGCAACAGGAAGAGTCAGCTTCAGGCTGGTAACTTTAGTATCAAGAAGAAATAA